AAAAAAAAAAAAAAAAAAAAACAAAGATACAACAAAAGCCAGAATCATACAATTTTAACAAAAGGTCTAATACCATGTAAAAAATTGTCTGGACTAAAACCAAACATTTAAAAACCATTTATTAAGATGAATTAAGCTGGGGTGCCTGGGTGGCGCAGTCAGGTCGGCTCCGGTTATGATCTCATGATTCAGGAGTTCAAGCCCCGCATCGGGCTCTGTGCTGATGATGCAGAGCCTGCTTAGGATTCTGTCTCTCCTCTCCTCCTCTCTGCCCCTCCCTTGCTTGTGGTGTCTCTCTCTCTCAAAATAAATAAACAGAACTTAAAAAAAAATGAATTAAGCTTTTAGGGGAACCAAAAATAGATTGCCTTGTGATAACATTATCTTCCAAGATCCCCCTCAGCGTTTACTCAGAAAATGGGCATTGCCCTTTACCATATCTTCCTATAGAGCAAGTGTCTTTAGCGTTTAAAAAATTGCATATTAATGTCAGTGTAAAAAGGATTAACTCTTAACACCGGAAACTAATGCCCATTTATCTTGTTTTCTTTACTATTAAATTTTTCACTTGGTGGGTAAATACAATTTTTTGGTTTAATTACCTTCCTGATTTGGATGCAAACAGCCTTTAGGATTTAACAGATTTAACAAGTAGTAACACCAACTTACAGTAAATCCTTGTGGCCCTCCATCTTTTACATGATAAATTCCACTACCAGCTTGAAAGAGAAATGTTCCACTTCCTTGGTGATAATCATAAGAAGCAATTCCAACGGTTCCAATGCGTTTTCTTTCTCTTAATAGTTCTTCTTCTCGAGAATACATTCCATAGTCCAGTGTTGCCTAATGCAAAAGGAAAGAGAAGTCACCTATTCGGTCTTCTGAAAGCTTGCTTTTTGCTTTTAGCAAAAACTTTCCACTGAAATCCTAGTATCTCCCATACTATTGAGTCTACATGTTGAGGGGGTCTAAAATGTGTCAGCAACTTTAAGCAAACTAATTCCAAGAAGTCTGTGGAAAGATTTCCTGGTATAGGATCTCTAGATGATTACTGCATACATTAGAGAACAAGAATTGTCTTATCACCTTGGCTTGGCATTCTAGATCTTCTACAACCTAAATGAGCAGTGATGCACGTAGTTAAGAGCACAGACTGTGAAACCAAGTGGTTTGAATCTAGGCTTTGACCCTTAATAGAAGTCTGACTTTGGGAAGTGGCTTAATTTCTTCAAAAGTAATTTTCCTCACTTTTAAAATAGTTTTGTTATCATCTACTTCGGCTTTGTGAAGATTAATTTAGATAAAACATATCAAGTGTTTAATACAATGATTGGCATAGAGTTAAGTTCTCAAGTATCAGCTGTCATTAATACTTTTCCAACACATCTATTAATACTCTTCTAATAAAATCCTAGATTAGGCTTGTCACATCACTGACATAAAACCCAACATATGAGGTTCTGCCTCCTGGTCCTTGTTCCACTGTCCTCCTTTGAAACGCTATTTTTCTTTCATCCAAGTTTTACCATTATCCCAAAACCTTAGCTCTAATTTAACCTTGGCAAGGAAATTTTCCTGATCCACTATGGGGTACAGGGATTTCTTCTGTGAAACTGATATAAGAGTTACTACCTCTTTTACTTATTTGGCCATGGTACTTTCACTTTTTTTTTTTTTTTCAGTATTTCTGACCAGAAATAGTTAAAACAAACAACTTAAGACCAGAATCTGTGTCATTTCGTTTTCCTACCTGCACGATCTGTTAAAATCTTTCTCAAAGACTGTTTGTAACTAATGATTGATAATGATAATAATTTCCTAAGCTAGAAATATTATTTGATAGAGGTATAAAATTTAAAAAGGAATATAAAGAAAACAAATTCAGTAAGTGCTAACAAAAAAAATTACATCCACATTTTCCCTAAGAGCTCTTTATACTTTATTTGATTATGATAAATAAGGAAAGCAGACATGGTTTCTGCTATCAAAGAGTGATACCTTAAAAAGGAATCTAGATTGAGTTTATTGGCAGGAATGTATCACTCCAAAACTAAGCTAGCACAATGAGAGTAAACATTGCTCAAGGACGGCAAATACATGTGTGTACTTGCAAATCTAAAACAAGGTTAGGTGAGGTTAAAAATGAAACACCCTGGGAATCTTGCTAAAAACCCATCTAGTTTTTTGTATTCTTTGTATCTATCACTTTTTAGTGAATATTTAATTACATATATATACATTCGTACCTGTGTGTGTTAGACTCTAAAAGAAAAAACTAGCAAATTCAATGAACATATAGTTTTATTAATTCTGATCTCTTTGTTTTAAATATCTGTTAAAACTGTTTCCATTGAAGCCTAGAGCAATTCTGAGAATATGATCATATTTTAATTTCTCCCTTCCTATTCTCCCTGAATGTCACTGGACGTGGGCCATATTTAATATATCTTAAAGTTTAATAATCAGAACACAAGACATTTCAGAGCTAAGAAATTATCTCACAAGAGAACTCTGTACTCATAACTTGGTAACTACAAATTTGGTTATTTGAAAGAATAACAAGGAAGATGATAAAAATAACCAGGAAAAAGATCAATTACAGGGAACAAGGTTAGCTCTCCAAGACATTAAAAAATTAAAACATGAATAAACAGAATGAACAATGGCAATGGTACAGAAGAAAAAATCTAAAATAGAAAGCTGAATATAGAAGTTTGTAAGAAAACAATGGTACGAAAAGGTGAGACTTTTAAAATCAGTGATTACTGATTTAAATTTTAAATCAGAATTACTGCATAGCCATATGCAAAAAGATAACCATGGATCCACTTGTCACATATTCCAAAGAGGTCAGAGATTTAAATGTTAAAAATGAAACCAACTTCCACTTTTAGCCAAGATGGAGTAACAGGGACTCGGCTTATCCTCCCACCTGAAACAACTGAAAAACTGAACAAAATATATGAAGTAATGTTTTTAAGACACTGGACATTAGACAACAAAGGACAGTGATCTCTGAGAAATGGGAACCAAATGAGGTGAGCATTACAATTGTCCCAGCTAACTGCTCTGACAGTTTACAGATGTTGGCACAAGAAGGGTTAGTCAATGGATCAAAGAAGAAATCACAAAGGAAATCAGAAAATACTTTGAGATAAATGAAAACACTGTATCAAAACTTAAAGCATGCAGCAAAAGCAGTGCTGAGAGGGAAATTTGTAACTCTAAGTATCTGCATTAAAAAAGAGATCTGGGGCACCTGGGTGGCTCTTGATTTTGGTCCAGGTCATGATCTCATGTTTTGTGGGATTGAGCCCCGCACTGGACTCTGTGCAGACATCGTGGAGCCTGCTTGCTCTCTCTTTCCCTCTCTCTGCCACTCCCCTCCTCACATACACATGTGCCCACTCTCTCTAAATAAATAAATAAACATTAAAAAAATTAAACTTAAAAAAAAGAGAGAGAGAGAGATCGGGGCATCTACTGGCTCAGTAGAGCATGCAACTCTTGATCTCAGGGTTGTAGGTTCAAGCCCCATGTTGGGTATAGAGTTACTTAACAATAAAAATATTAAAAGAGAGAGAGAGAGAGAGAGATCTGAAATCAATAACCTATCTTCCACCTTAAGACACTAGAAAGAAAGAGCAAACTAAATCCAAAGCAAGCAGAAGTGAGAAAATATTCTAAAATAAACTGGAAATAAAATACAGAATAGAAAAACAACAAAGCCTAACGAACCAAAAGTTGGTTATTTGAAAAGATCAAATTTAGCTAAAATGAAGAAAGGTCATTTTGAATGATCTTAAAGAGATTAAAAAAAAAGATTATGAGGGAACGATATAAACAATTCTATGCCAACAAATTCAATAATGTAGGTGAAATGACTGAACTCCTAGAAACACAAAGCATCAAAAGTGACTCAAGAAGAAACAGAAAATCTGGGAACGCAAGCTGGTGCAGCCACTCTGGAAAACAGTATGGAGGTTCCTCAAAAAACTAAAAATAGAACAACCCTACAACCCAGCAATTGCACTACTAGGCATTTATCCAAGGGATACAGGTGTGCTGTTTCGAAGGGACACATGCACCCCCATGTTTATAGCAGCACTATCCACAATAGCCAAAGTATGGAAAGAGCCCAAATGTCCATCGATGGATGAACAGATAAAGAAGATTTGGTATATATATACAATGGAATATTACTCGGCAATCAAAAAGAATGAAATCTTGCCATTTGCAACTACGTGGATGGAACTGGAGGGTATCATGCTAAGTGAAATTAGTCGGAGAAAGACAAAAATCATATGACTTCACTCATATGAGGACTTTTAAGAGACAAAACAGATGAACATAAGGGAAGGGAAAC